AGCCATGGCACAAGTTGGTCAAGCTGGGATTGGACCAAGGGCCTGTTCCCCCACGCAGATTTGGGCCCCGAGGCTCGTTGACAGCTACCAACTCCCTACCAAAGGCACCCCACCGGGGTTGAGCCGAAAGCTTGAGCCAAATGTCATGTCATATTTTCACACCCCCTCATGCCTATTGCGCGGTCAGTCCTTCTTTCGTCTCTCGAGACTTTTCCTGGCTTCTTTCACCAGGAATCGGCCTAAGCCCTGCGGATAGACACCTGTCGCTGCTATGCTAGTAGCACTCGCATGCTCGTGGTTTCCTGGGCAAACACAAGAGGATAAAGTCCAGATAAAACTCGAATCCGAACTGACGAACCACCAATGCTTCAGGATACGGTTGCCAGCTTCCTCGAAACAGCACCGGTCTACCAAACACTCGTGCTCGAGTCCCAGTCTTTTCGCTGTTGACTTGTAGACTGTTTCTCCCCAAAGACCAGACCCTTTAGGCCATTCGTGGGAGAGGAGGAGCCTCTCGTGGCCAGCATAGTCCTGGAAAACTGCTCGTATGCGTCTCCAGGACTTCTTGTGTACCTCCAGACTAGCTCTCCATCTCGCCCGGTTCTTCACGTCCTTTGAGAAACGCAGGTGCCTAAGGCCACTACCTGCGCTGCACGGCGTAGACAAATGTGCATACACGTAGATTCTGTCGTTAGAAGCCATCTTTTCCAGAATCCCTTTTAGCAACAAAGAAGCCTCTCTACTCAGCAAGTCTAGCTTCTTGGTGATTCCAAAGTACGCGATGTCACGTTCCCGCTTACAAGCTTGGGCTATCGCGCTTTCCTCTTCGCAACAGAGTTCCAAGACAACCATGGTGGCCTCCCCAGAAGCAACTCTGTAGGCCTCGTCCTTCCACGAGCTCGGAATTGCGAGCACTTCGTCGCAGGTATTGGGCTCTTTAAAGGTAACCGAAACGCTAGTGCCTGAAGCTTTTTCTTCCCAGCCAACCGGCTCGGTGGTCAAGCCACAAGCCTCACACAAGCTTGCCAAACTGTCATTCGTGGGACTTTTCGTTAGAGCATCTGCGGGGTTGATGGCCCCCGGTATGTGCTCAATCGTGAACCTTCCACGATCCACAAGTTCCTGGAGAAATGCGGCTCTTAACTCTATATGGCGAACTTTCCTCAGCAATGTTCCCATTTTTGAGATACAAACCGCGCTTTCAGAGTCAGAGTAACCCTTCAAGAGATAGTAACCGGTCTCCCTGTCCTGCGGAATGCCTTCCAAGATGGTCTCTGTCAAGAGGGCAATGTAGAGACCTTCCCTGGCTATCTCCGTGAGCGCCGCGAGCTCACTCTCAGCGCTGGACAGGGCTGTGGTTGATTGCTTTCTGCTAAAAGTCTTCAGACAGCAGTTTTCCCAAGTAATCACACCACCACTAACCGAATTCAAACTCCAGCTTGCGTCCGTAAAACAGGAAACCGCCTGAGGATCCGCATCATCTTCCAGGATCTCCCGAGTTGATGGAAACACCTGTACTCGGTGCGGAAGCCCTTTTATCCACTTAAGGACGTCTCTCATGCATGTTTCAGCAGCCTCGTCTGGCGCCGCCTGGTGCCGGCCCAAAAACCCGCAACAGAATTGCAGGTCCGGTCGGGAGAGGGCTGCCCATGCAAGCCGACCAAGGGTTCTACGATACTTTTCGTGTGCGGCCGGGCTAATCTTTTCAGTTTGCCCTTTTCGAACCAGGTCGGAGTATCGCTTTTCAAGCGACGGGAGTTTGGGGCTCGGTTTGGTTATATTGTACTCAGAGCAGCACGCGTCTAGGTACTTGCTATCTAGCCCGAAATAGACGCGCTTGTCTCCGGAACGTCGGAATATTCTCCTACCCAAGAAGGAAACTTCCCCCGCACCATTCTCAGGAAGCTCTCCAGTCAGTTTCAGCTTGTAGCGTTTCTGCAGTCCTTCGAAAACTCTCTTACCTTCCGATGGGTCCTCGGAGTAGATCAGCAAATCGTCTACATAGAACAGTACCAACGTCAGACCCTTCGACGTCTTCCTTCGGTATATCGTAGGGTCCAGGCTTGGACTGAATCCGCTCTTCTCCAAGTACGAACTCAGTTCCTTATACCAAGAAAGCGGTGCCGATCTCAATCCGTTCATCGCTTTATGAAGACGAAGATACACCTTCTTGTTTCCTGCCTTTTGGGGAACAGAAGAGTCCGCAATACTCACATTGTTTGGGAGCTCTACGTACTCTGGCCTTGACACTGCAGCGTGCATGAAAGCCACGCTCACGTCACAGCTCAACACTGAGCCTTTCTTGCAAAGCAATGCCAAAAGAAGCCTTAAACCCTCTAAACTCGTAGTCGGGCTGTAGATGCCTTCTGAAAGCGTCGTGCCTCCCACTGAAGCGTAATCTCTAACAACGAGGCGGGAACGGTAAAGACCTTTACGTTTGATCGTGTTAACCCACCTGCTCGTGAGAACCCTCCGACCGCTCTCTCGCGCCGACTTGCGGGCCTCAGCTTCAGAGATCACTTTTCCTACTCCAAAAGACTCGAGTTCCTCAAGCTCCAACTTCATCGAAGCATACAGAAGTTCAGGGTCTAACTGTTCACCTGAGGTCTCAGAAACGGCGTTTCGGGGTACTTGGCACTTGATCTTACTCCCTCCGAATTTGAGAGTAAACGAATCAGCTACTTCTTTAGACGTGGCCAGAATGTCCGGTCCTTTGAACAAAGACTCTAACAGATGGTTAGTTAGCCAGTCAATTTCCATGTCCTCTAGGTCATCCGGCTGCATTTCCGGTGACCCAAGTCCGCCTTCCCCCTCATCATCTGTGGGTTCCACGTAAGACGGAATATCATTCAGAGGATCAGGATCATCTGGTACCATCTCTTCATCTTCGTTTTCAAACCCCGGGTCAGGGTCTTCTGACTTCACCGGATCAGGTGGTGGCTCAAACATGATGGGCCTTTCAGGATCCGCTGGGTCTAGAACCAGAGGCTGTGAAGTAGACAGAGCGTGTATGGCCCCTACGTCGTAGACAGGCTCACCTTTCGCTCCTTCTAAGGCCCTACAGACAGGAAAGATATCGATCTCAGTCTGACCCACTGGAGCAGCAAAGACACCGCCCCCTCTAGGCTCTTTAGGCCCTAGATACACAGCTTTCACTGTTTTCTTTCCCCTGTACTTCTGTTGATGCGCTTTTGAGCCCCCTACTTTAGCGTAGACAAGACATCCAAACGGCAGGGTCCTCGTACGATGCACAATCTCCTCGTGCAGCCGGTCAATGGGCGTAGTCACGTCCTGGTGACTAAAGCTCCAGAGGTTGTAGCACCTGGCGCTGTAAAGGACACAAGCTTGCCAGAGCATTCCTCCCAGCGGAAGCTTCTTGTTCCAGTCTTCCGGCGCGGAATTCCGCGCAACTTCTCTCTCCAAGTCTAACCACACTGCCCAAAATCCCTGCTTCATAGTTTCTACTTGTCTTTCAATAGCGCCTTTTGACTGAGGGCGATACCCGGGCACGACGTCCACAATGACGCCAGAAACAGCTACATCACCTGTACGGGTAGTCAATTTTTCGGCTAAAGACATCAAAGCCGACTCCTGATCACATCTCACTGTGACCATTTTATTCACAAGACCCATTTCACGAATCACTCGTCCAATGTTGTAAAACAGATCCGGATCATCCAAATTCATGGCCGGGATGACCGTGGTATAGTTCGAAGAACAATGTGCAAGAAGCAGCACACGAAGACGACCGAAGTAGTAGAAATCCATTCCTATCGTCTGGTCCTCGCGTTGCAAACGCCTTCGCAAGCGTCTCGCAGGAACCTTCCCTTTACTCGAGGTGCATGCCTCACAGTTCACATCATAAGGAAAATGACCTCTGGATCTATGCACTTGCAAAGCCACACTTCGCAGAGGTATCCTATCTGAAACTTCTGCACCTCCAGGCGGTTCCGGGGGTTTAGGTGGTTCAGCACCTTGAGGCTTCGGAAGCGGACTCTCTTTTTCTCCTCTCTCTTCTCTCTCTGAAGAACGTGGTATGTCACTATCGAGTTCTAAGGGCTCAGCTTGCGTCCCCTTACCGGGGAGGGGCAGTCCACGCACAACTCTCAAGTGGCTGTGCTCAGAAGTGGATCTGCTCCCTTTTTCATCATCGCCCTTTCTTCTCAACAAACAACAACCACACACACTCCAAGCACAACACCATGCCATGCACACCAACAAGCTCCACAAGTTCCTGTCGAGACAAAGGCCCAAGCACATGGCCTTACATGCGAACTTCAAAGAGGCTTTAAAACCTGAGCTCCAAGTTGGTTTCACAACGTGCCTGCTAAAGACCAGAGTACGTTCTACATCAACTCGAACATAACAGAAACGAGTCTTGATTCGCACTCGGACTCCTTTACGACGATGGTGTAAACGGTACTTTCGGGATACAAGTTGAGGGTAGTCACCAACTCCTCGAAACCTTTTCAAACACATCTTCAAGAATCGAAACCCTAACCAGAACGAACCCCCCAAGAGACTTGCTATCACATAGATCGCCAAGCAAGCGAAAACATCCAATGCTTCTCCTGGCATGCAAAACAAAGCACTCCTGGCCGGCAGGGGTCTGTCATGACTCATGTTCAGGAGGTTTGGGTTCGTGGCGTTTCTGAGGTTCACACTTGAGGGTATTTCGGATCTTTGAGGGTACTGCTTAGAAGATCGACGTTCTTTCGGGCTAGTTAAACGCGGACTTGAGGGTATTTCGGATCTTTGAGGGTACTGCCGAGAAGATCGAAGTTCTTTTGGGCTTCTCTTCAAGGGACCTTCAAGCTCGCACACTCCTAACCAAGCAAGTCTCACACAGCAACATGTCTGTTCAACTGCTTCACTCATGCTTCTTTCCAAGTCCAAACAAGCCTGAAAGACACTGTGTTTTTCCAACGCGCAAGACATGCGATCGGCGCGTTCAGAAACAATTCCACAAAAGGAAGAATTCCGCACAGCCTTTAAGGCCTTCACTTCTTCTGGCAAGGGGAAGGAAGCACAAACTCCCTCTCTTCGGCTGTTTGACCCAAGCCGCCCGGAGGCGGAAGGGCACCCGCTGCGGATGATGTAGCGGTCTCGGAGGTAGGCCCTTCCTCCGCTGTCACGGTTGCTGGCTCTGGAACTGCAGGCAAAGACTCTACAGCCACTGGCGCTTCTGGAACCGTCAAAGGCGAGGAAGTTGGAACCACAGACCAGGCCTTCGGTGTAGCCCCCGCTGGTGCCCCCTGGGCTTTCGACAGAGCACCTGGAATTTCCCCAGGAGCTGCCTTCGGGACATAACCGGGACCTGGAATTTCCCCTGGAGGAGGGGTCTCCGGCACACTCTCCGGTGCGGAAATTGGAGCTCCAACCGGTGCCGTGGGTCCTGGAGTTTCTGGGGCCCGCTCCTCTTCCATCACCATAGGCTCTACACTGTGGTCCGAGGGACCAGAAGAAGCAACAGGTGGGACATCCAAGAACTTGAATGACTCCAAAGGGGCCAATGAAACTGCGGAAGGCGAAGGAGGTACCGGTGTTGATGGAGCTGCAGTGTCCCCCAGAGGGGCTCCTAGAGATGCTGGATCGAACTTGTACCCGTCCGTCGCAACCGGCGATGGCTCCATAATGATAGGAGACGGTGGGGGCGGCGCAGAGGAGCCCACATCTTTCAAGGCTTTCTCCGCTTCGATGAGCGCCAAAACTCTGGTCCGGCTCTGCATCATGTATTCCCCCATTGGAATCGATTCGTCCGACGAACTTGCCGAGGATGACTCGGCAGACTCTGTCTCCGAGCCTTCGTTCATGGCTCCAGTCTCCGAGCCTTCGTTCATCGCTCCAATTCCACCTCCAGTATCTGTGGAAGCAGCTGCACCCGTTCTTCTGGCCTTGACCTTGGGTCGAGCGGACTGCAAGTCCTCCCATTTTCGGACCTCTGCTTCGAACTCGATATAGCGCCGGGTGCGCTGATCCATTGCCCCCATTAACGCACGCCACCCATGCCTGATGGCTGAGCCTGGCACCCACTCGAGCTGGAGCTCGACGTCGTCTGGGTACATTCCAGCCAAAAGGTTGCGTTCCGCTTCCGGCATGGCCTCGTAAACGGTCAGGACCTTGAGGATACGCTTGATGTAACCCAGCGCAGCCACGTCCCCGCCACTCTGGTGGCGTAGGTGACTTGGATCGGGAGTATATCCTTCGATAGCAGCACGCGCGTCCCTTGCACGCACGCCGCGTTGATGAAGAGTGCGGCCTTGACCCGCGAGTTCGAACCTTGTAGTATGCTCGTCCAACAACTCGTCGGTGAGCTGGGAAAAATCCCTCTTTCTCTTCACCGGAAGGATGCCTCCATGATCCGGGGCTTCCGGAAACTCGGGCAGCCACAGCGCCCACGCAACCTCCGCGCTGATGTAGGGCGTTCCATCCAGAGGATCGGGATCGTGATCGCGAAGCCTCTTGGACCAACCCGTTCCCAGGCACGGCCCCACATCTGGGTCTGGACGTTGGATCCGCCCAAGGAGCTTCTGCCCAACCTCGAGGAGGTAGCCGTCGGTCATCAAAGCATCTGTCAATGACGCAAAGATGGTCCCCTGACGGGAAGGATAAACGATCCCATCTCCGATAGACATAAGTGGAACTGCAGGTTCCAGGTTGTTCTCTGGAATTGCCGGCACAGGGTATCCACATGCAATAAGATCTTCTCGCTGTTGTCGTATCGCTTGCATGAAATACCTGAAGCGCGGTCCCCTCAGCATGCTTCTCCACTTCACTATCAGCGACGGCTCGTCTGATGGCTGCGAAGGCCTGGCCTTGCTTGCCCTCCATTTTCCCCATGCTTCCTCCTCTTCTGTCTCTCCTGTCTCTGATGCAGCCACCGTAGGCGAAGGTACTGCAACTTGACTCGGAGGCCTCGAGAAAACATTGAAGGGGGCAGCTGAAGCCTCTGCATCCGCAGTCTCGACTGGCGCCGCCTCTGCTGGTGCAGGCTCTACTGGTGCATTCAAAAACGCAACCTCCTGCCCGGCACTCTCCGCTGGAGAGTTGTGGGAATCTTGCTCCACCTCCATTGGCGGTTCCGACATGCTCAGTACCTTCCCTCAGGGAAAACCAAGACACGCAAACAAGCAAAATGGCTGCGGACAAACATGCGCACTTCAAGCCTTTTGAGGTCCTTTTGGGCTTCCTAACGCAAAACATGCCTGGCTCGGTTGCTTTGGGGCACTCACTTCCTTTAAGGGCACACCTCAAACCTTCACTGCCGAAGATCAGAAGCGAAAAGCCTTTCAAACACAACCCCTTCACAAGACATGCCAGCAAAAACATCACGTTCCAAACTGCGCACACATGCCGCTGCCAAAAATCATGTTGCTGTCTGACAAAAACATGGCATTTCCTAACAGAATCATGAAGTTTCCTAACAAGACTTTCGGAAAGCAGGCTCCTATCACCACTCAGGACAGGCGTTTTCCTAGTACAGATCATGTCGTGCGGTTTCCTACCGGCGTGTTCTTCAGGAATTTCCAAGGACCTACTCCTAACTTCAGCCCTCAAACCGCGCAACATGAACTCAAACGGCGTTCCCGTCAAGACGTGGCGGATAGACTTCTCGTCCTTTCCAGGCTTCTCATCACTCTTCGCTTCTTTCGAAGTCTTCTTCAGGATGCTTGGTCCTGCAGTAATGTCTTTCCTGGGTTCCTTGTCAACAGGAAGAGAGTCGATCTCCATGTCCGATCCCTTGGATGGGCGTTTAGGAGCTTTCTGCTTCTTTCCGCTAATCGCCCACCAGGCCCGTTTCGCCCCAACCAGGCGGACATTCTTCTTTCCACCCTTGTAAATGCGAGACCCGGTGCGCGCAAGGTGCGTCTTCCAGCCCCGTTCCGACGCGGACCACGGAGATACCACATTGAAAGGCACGTCCGCCACAAGGACGTCCTCCAACGTCAACGAAACGTCGCCGAAACGAACTTCCAGATCAACGACATTCGATACGTTTATGATGTCTCCTGAGGCACTATAGAGCGTCACCGTGCGATCATGGTACTTGCAGACACGAAATCCTGACAGATGATCTGCTGAGACGATGTGGCATGTGGCTCCACTATCGACCAGCCACACATCACGATGCTCTACCTGCAGCGAAGCGCAGACGTATGCCGCATCTCCCTTCGAGGTGCTTCCAGTCAGGGTGCCTACCTTCTCATCTACAGTGACTTTCGGCCCTACAGCGACCGGTCTAGGGACTGCCTCTACGGGCTTAGGCTTCTCAGGCTCAGGCTGGCTCAGTACTTCTCGTACAGCAGAAGGCTTGGCAAACCTCATCGCCATCACGGTGGAGGTCCTCGAAGACTCGGACTCTGCCTCGGACTCTGGTTCTCCCATAGCCCGGGCTCTAGCCTTCTTCTTCTTGCCTTTGCCCTTGCCTTTATCAGGCTTGTCGGGCTTCTGCTCCTTGTCTTTGCCGCCTTTTCCGCCTTTCGGCGTTGGAGAGCGTGGCTTTCCTTTGGGATTCTGCGCTCCCTTGCCATCGCCCTTCTTGCCCTTGTCGCCCTTCTTGCCCTTTTCACCGGCTTCACGCTGACGGCTCCAGCAGTCCTTAGCCAGGTGTCCCTTTCGTCCACAGTGGTCACAAAGCTTGTCACCCTTTCCTGACATCTGCCGATTTGAGGAAAAGGGACCCTCACACAGACGAAGCTGCTCCTCATAGTACCGAAGGCTATCGCTCAGCGATGTCCAGTCGTTGCTCTTCCCATGAAGAACGACGTACTGTCTGAGCTCCTGGCTCAGAGCTTGCAGCAAAACACTGCAGCGGTCAGCCTCCGTGAGACGCAACTCTGGAAAGTTCCCAAGCTTGGATTCGGCACGAGAAAACTCGTCCTCCAAGTGACGGATGAGGTCTGTCGGCCGTCGGTGATGCTGGCACGTAGTCGCCAACTTGAGGCACTGCTCCCGCACGTAGACAGCTTCCATGCGAGACACGATGCTGTATTGCTGCGTGATGGTCCTCACAGCCTCGTATCCGCAGGCACTGAGAGACTGCCTTTTCGAGCACGAGCGTAGCAACTCCTGACCTCTTTCCCAACGTGAGAGAGATTGGGTGAGATAGTAGTAAAGCTTCGCACTTCGAGCAGCAACATCATCCGCCAAATCCTTCTGAAGGATCTCATTCTTTTGCTTGACGCAGAGTTGCAACTCTCGAACGAAAGACTCATCTTGAAGAGCAAGCCACGATGACAGTGTCTCCAGGTAGGCATGCCATGTCTCGACTTCTCGCATCCTGCCCTTGTTCATGCCTTGATGCTCTAGCATCGGCAGAGATGGAAGGTACTTCTCCGCCCCATTCTGCACCAATGGGCTCCGAACAGAGCTCGAAGACGAGGTAGCTCCTGCAAAAGGCATAGAAGGTGTGCTCGGTGCAGCTGCAAACGGGTCTTCCGTCTTGGCTCTAGCTGCAGCCTCTGCAACCAAACGTGCGGTCTCCGCTGCCTTCTCTTCAGCCTCATTTCGACGCTTCTCTTCCAAATCCATTCTTCTCATGAGGGCAGCTATCAACTGCTGGTTCTGCTGGGCTGGTTGGTCTGACTTTGCTGCCTTAGCATCTCCAAGAAGATGGCTTGGAAGTTGCCTTCACCAAGGCCATTTCCAGCTTGTACTCCACCCACTTGGCTTCCAGTAGGCGAAGCATAAGCTTGATCTGGAGTTGCCGGAGGCGACGCAAAAGGGTTCGCTCCTCCAGGTGCTATCGGTTGTCCTTGAAACCCAAACAGCAAAGCCTCTTCCTCAGGCCTCACATCAGGTACTGGCACTGTAGACGCGTCTGGCTTTTCCTGGTCTCTTCAGAACGCTCCGCTACCATGTAAAAAGCAGAGCTTACTGCTTTTTCCGTTCGCACTTGAGCCAAACACGTCAGTGTTCAGCTGCACTGTCTTCAGTCAGCAAAGGTGCTCTCTCCAAGAGCAAAGACTTCAAGTCTTCAAACGACATCTCAACTTTGTTTAGACAAAGGAGAATGCAAAAGTAACATGCTTCAGGACTTCAGGTCTGTTGCAAAACACAGCTCTCAGAATGTCTCAGTCGAGTGTCAAACGGTCACGACACGGTACGAACGACGGGGCAAGGCACACGGAGTGAGTAACGGCCAAAGTCTGTTCCTCAGAGCTTTGCTTCAGCACTTCCAGATGACTCTCAGGTCAGGTCAACTTACGAGAGGCTAAAAGCCTCTGTGTGCTTCCCAAAACTTCCTCGGACTTGCAAACCAAAACATGTCAAGTCAAAGCACCTTCATGTCATGCAAACATGCTCATGCCAAAACAAAAACATGTTCTTGCCATATGTCACAGCACTCCCCCACATGCACCTGCAAGCAACTAGGCAAACAAAGAAATGTCATATTTTCACAATTTTAAGCAGTTTTGCCGCCTTCTTATCGGTTGGTTGTTGCGTGCTGCTTTGGTGGGTTGGGTGGTTTTCTGGTTCTTGGTTGTGTTGCTTTTTTCTGGCGATGTTTCACACCTTATTGAGAGACCTGCAAGAACTACCTACTGTGCTCGCGACAGATTGATGGCTGGACCCACAATTAGCTTTGAGTCCCGCGCAGCAACTCTTCTTTTGGTTATTCTGTCAAAATGCCAAGTTTTGTGGATTCAGAAAACCCAACGAGATCAACCAGTTTGTCTGGTGACTGGTTGAAGGACTGAGGATGGAAGTGAAGTTGGGGTGACTCGAACTTTTTCATTTTTTGTTTGGAGTTCTGTCAAATCTAACTTCAATCTGGGGAACCTTAACCTCAACCTGCGTTGGTTGCCGCCTCTCTCGCCTGGAATCGGAGGTAAAAAGTGGAGTTGTTAAAGTTTTATAGAGAAGAGAGAATTCGTCTCCATGCCTTCTTGTTTTTATTTTGCTCATTTTCAAACATCAGAAGAGAGAATTAATCCAAACCAAACTTGACCCCACCGTTTCTTGGTTTGTTTCGTGTCCATTGGAAAACCAAGAAGAAGTCGAGAAACGCAGTCAAATTCTCTCGTCGTTTTCTGGTTTTTGTTTCTTGTATTTGTTTCGAAAAGCAGAGAATAAGTAGAGAACATTCGAAAATCAGAGAAGGAGAATTCATCTCAATTGGCTCTCTCTTGAGTCTTTGTGGGTTGAGCGCTCGAAAGTTGCGTCTTCTCAGCCCTCAGTTGTCCTGGCAACTTTCTCCTTTTCGAGACTAAGAACGTCCGTTCTCTTTCTCTTGTTTCAGAGGAAGAGCCTTGACAGCGACTCAAGGCAGCTTGAGACGCCGCGGACGGATGTTGTTCCGACAAATGGAAACACTCCATCGCTGGAATGACTCAGATGTGGAATGACCACAGTTCTGGATCTGCACCGTGGTGGAAACCAAGATTTAATATTGTTGTAAATGGAAATTCTTAAAGATTCGGTTGGAAACTGGACAACACTGGAACCTGGTTGAATCTAGTCAAGAAAGCGACCCTGAAAGCTTGTTGGACTTGCACAGAAAACAACCTAACACCGCTTTTCAAGTTGTTTCCTGTTGTGTTTCAGTTTCAGCATCAGTTTCTCTCGCGATGTGCCTCAAATTCTGTTGTTAAGTTTGCTGTCTTTCAAATCTGTGTGCCGGATCTTTGTCTGTGTGCCCAAACTGTGCCTTTACTTGACTTGGTTAGGGCCTTCTGTCCACCTGCTCCACGGACGCGGATTAAATTTGTTTTTCCACGGTGAGACTTGGGTTAAGCTCTCTGGGTGAAATTGGGTGGAATCTGGGTTGTGTCTTGTCATCCAAAACCTGAAGAACAAAGCCTCCGAGATCAGAAAAAATCGTGCTTTGTCAATTTTTTTTGCAATTGGGGCAGAGGGGAGCAGTGTCTGCTGGTTTTGCTTCTTTTCATCCTAAACCTGAAAGAGCAAGCCCTCCAGATAAAAGAACGTGTTGTATCAGCTCTTGCAGTTGGGGTAGAGCAGTTTTGACAGTATTGTGGTATGCTGGCTGAATTTTGAAAGCGCAATACCTGCTTCTTGTCGTCCTAGACTTGAAGGAACAAAGCCTTTAAGGATCCCAAAGAGCATGATGTATTGACAGTATTGTGGTATGCTGGCAGAAGTTTGAAACATCAACGTTTGGTGGTGCCTCCGAGATCAAAAAAATCGTGCTTTATCAATTTTTGCAGTTGGGGCAGAGGGGTTTTGACAGTATTGTGGTATGCTGGCAATTTTGAAAGAGCAGTGTCTGCTGGTTTTGCTTCTTGTCATGCTAAACCTGAAAGAGCAAAGCCCTCCAGATCAAAAGCACGTGTTGTATCAACTCTTGCAGTTGGGGCAGAGCAGTTTTGACAGTATTGTGGTATGCTGGCTGAATTTTGAAAGCGCAATACCTGCTTCTTGTCGTCCTAGACCTGAAGGAACAAAGCCTTTAAGGATCCCAAAGGGCATGATGTATTGACAGTATTGTGGTATGCTGGCAGAAGTTTGAAACATCAACGTTTGGTGGTGTTGCTTCTTGTCATCCAAAACCTAAAGAACAAAGCCTCTGAGATCAAAAAAAATCGTGCTTTATCAATTTTTGCAGTTGGGGCAGAGGGGTTTTGACAGTATTGTGGTATGCTGGCAATTCTGAAAGAGCAGTGTCTGCTGGTTTTGCTTCTTTTCATCCTAAACCTGAAAGAGCAAAGCCCTCCAGATCAAAAGAACGTGTTGTATCAACTCTTGCAGTTGGGGTAAAGCAGTTTTGACAGTATTGTGGTATGCTGGCTGAATTTTGAAAGCGCAATACCTGCTTCTTGTCGTCCTAGACCTGAAGGAACAAAGCCTTTAAGGATCCCAAAGGGCATGATGTATTGACAGAATTGTGGTATGCTGGCAGAAGTTTGAAACATCAACGTTTGGTGGTGTTGCTTCTTGTCATCCAAAACCTAAAGAACAAAGCCTCCGAGATCAGAAAAAATCGTGCTTTATCAATTTTTGCAGTTGGGGCAGAGGGGTTTTGACAGTATTGTGGTATGCTGGCAATTCTGAAAGAGCAGTGTCTGCTGGTTTTGCTTCTTTTCATCCTAAACCTGAAAGAGCAAAGCCCTCCAGATCAAAAGAACGTGTTGTATCAACTCTTGCAGTTGGGGTAGAGCAGTTTTGACAGTATTGTGGTATGCTGGCTGAATTTTGAAAGCGCAATACCTGCTTCTTGTCGTCCTAGACCTGAAGGAACAAAGCCTTTAAGGATCCCAAAGGGCATGATGTATTGACAGTATTGTGGTATGCTGGCAGAAGTTTGAAACATCAACGTTTGGTGGTGCCTCCGAGATCAAAAAAATCGTGCTTTATCAATTTTTGCAGTTGGGGCAGAGGGGTTTTGACAGTATTGTGGTATGCTGGCAATTCTGAAAGAGCAGTGTCTGCTGGTTTTGCTTCTTTTCATCCTAAACCTGAAAGAGCAAAGCCCTCCAGATCAAAAGAACGTGTTGTATCAATTCTTGCAGTTGGGGTAGAGCAGTTTTGACAGTATTGTGGTATGCTGGCTGAATTTTGAAAGCGCAATACCTGCTTCTTGTCGTCCTAGACCTGAAGGAACAAAGCCTTTAAGGATCCCAAAGGGCATGATGTATTGACAGTATTGTGGTATGCTGGCAGAAGTTTGAAACATCAACGTTTGGTGGTGTTGCTTCTTGTCATCCAAAACCTAAAGAACAAAGCCTCCGAGATCAAAAAAAATCGTGCTTTATCAATTTTTGCAGTTGGGGCAGAGGGGTTTTGACAGTATTGTGGTATGCTGGCAGAAGTTTGAAACATCAACGTTTGGTGGTGCCTCCGAGATCAAAAAAATCGTGCTTTATCAATTTTTGCAGTTGGGGCAGAGGGGTTTTGACAGTATTGTGGTATGCTGGCAATTCTGAAAGAGCAGTGTCTGCTGGTTTTGCTTCTTTTCATCCCAAACCTGAAAGAGCAAAGCCCTCCAGATCAAAAGAACGTGTTGTATCAACTCTTGCAGTTGGGGTAGAGCAGTTTTGACAGTATTGTATAACCGCAACGCCTGCTTGCTGGTGTTGCTTTTTGTCGTCCAAAACTTGAAAGGACAGAGATTGTGGCTTTTGCATGGTTTCGCAAGACAGAAGGCTTTGTTCCAGCCGAGGGCTTGTTCCAGCCAGGGCGTTTTCCAGCCCCTGGCTGGTTCCAGCCCAGGGCGTTTTCTAGCCTGGGGCTTCTTCCAGCTCGAGGCATTGTCCAGCAAAGGGTGTGTTCCAGGCAGAAGCTTGTGAAAAATATTCTCGGCATGTTCCGGGCCTGGGTGTTTTCCAGCAGCAGCCTGGTTCCAGCCCCGGGCTGTTTCCAACGAGGGGTCGTTTCCACCTCTGGGCTCATCACCCGCCCGGACTCTTGCTCTGCCGCAAGCTCTGTCTTTGGATCTGTCCCCCGTGGCCTTGATGCTGGTCCTAGGCAATGATCCTCTAATTCCTCTTTGCGGAGGTGGAGAGGACCCTGTGCAACGACTGACATCGTCAGTCGCGCAACGCCTTCTTGTGGATCTCTGCAACATCAAGGTTGTTCTT